CGCCCCTCGCCGCCTGCTCCCACCCCGCGGAGACCCAGAGGCCGCTGTTGGCAGCCTGCCCCGCCGGCGAGGAGGAGGAAGAGGAGGAGGAGGAGGAGGAAGCAGATATGCCTGTCCGTCTCCCCGAGCGCGCTCGGAGTGGTGAAAAGCTGGCCGAGGTGACGTTCGTGCTGCTTCAACACCAACTTCGTTTCAATTAAAAAGTTGCGCGACCTCTTTTTTTCCCCTGATAGGATTTAATAAGCGAGGGCTGAAATACCCTTTGATGCCTCGAGTAATAAGGTTCAAGGTACAAATGAAAAGGAGTTTGGCCCTAGGCCTAAGCAGCTCTTTAAACTTCCCCGAGCAACTGAGTAAACAGCCTCTAACAAAACCTGGCATATTTCGGCGGTCTCTGTCACTTCCTCCCCCTCTGCCCGCCAATGTCACCCTGATGCCGGAGGTTCTTTAGGCTGAGCTGTGGGTTTTGAGGAACTATAAACATATCCCGAAAGTTTTTTAGGTTGTGCTATTCTTTTTTGGGTAAAAAAAAAAAAAAAAAAAAGATAAACATCGGTGCACTAAATGCACCTAGTTTGCCGGGAATATAAATATCAGATGACTAGTTTATTAGTGGGTTGACGGTTTGGGGTGAAGCGATGGACTGCATGGTGGGGAACGGGTTTGTTACCTCGCATCTACTTAGTGGAAGATTATTAACGTCTTTTATGATATGCTATTTCCCTTGCATATGAACGCAGCCGTATTTAAAGATACATTGTACATAACCTGAGGTACCAGTATTATTTAAAGGGTGCAAAATATAAAATAACACTAATAAAGATCATTCACAGCCGCACTCGCGTGTAACTTATTTTCTCACGTTGGGGCTCTTCATGGAGCCTTTTCCATCCGCTCCGAACAACGTAAGAAGCTCTCCCGCCTCTTTAGCGGTGCGGTAACGTTCTGGAGCCTGCAGCTGTGCCGCCGTCGGTTGTGAGCACACATGAGTGCCTCGGAGATGTGGTATCTCGGCTGCGGTTTCCCAAAAAGCATAAGGGGTGGGTGGGGGGGAAGATGCTCGCCCTGTTACAGCCTTTAAGAAAACAGACGAGGGCGCCAAACGACAGCAATAAACCCGGCCGCAGCCTTCCGCTTCGCCCCCCGCCCCGCCGGGCGCTGCTGGGGAAACGGGGGCTTCGGGACCCCTTGCCGGGGCTGCCCGACCCCCGGGCCCGTCGGTGCGGGCTGCCCGTTCGCGGAACCCCCGCTCGGCTGCACTCAGTGAGACCCCGGGCGCCCCGCAGCAGCGGAGCCGCCTCCCGTCCCGCCGGGAGGGCAGCGCGGAACCTCCGCGCCCGTCCCGGCCGGGGATCCCGGGGAGGGGAAGGGAAGGTTTGCGGACTCTGCCCGCCGCCCCGCGGCTTTCGCCCCGCTCCGCTCCCCTCCGCGTCGGCCCGCTCCCCCGCCGCGCCCGCGGGCGAGGAAAAGTTGATATTTACTTTTGTCTGGTTTGGGGGCTGTAAAACGCAGGACACCGCACTGTAGTCTAAATTCACATTTCAAAGGGCTGACATAAAACGCTCATTAATGGAAGGCTGGATTTTACAAACAACGCCTAGAATGTTTCCTAAATATTTGGTGGAATGTTTAGGGAGACTTTAACACGTTATTAAAAAAAAAAATCTGACAAGTATCCCATTTTCGAGCTATGAATCATGCGCAAGAGCACAAGAACTTAGGAGATGTGTGTGACTAACATTAGCAGGAACGGCTCTTCTCGCAAAATATCAAGCGCCCGTTTAATCACAGGAAACATTGGGGTGTTTCTCCGGGCGATGAAACTCAGATTCCCAGGGTCTGAATACTAGATGATGTGGGTGAAAAAAAAAAAAATCACGGCGAGAAAAAAAGGTTGGGCAGCTCTCGAAGCGCACTCCAGAGATGCTAACGACAAAGGATTTATCTTCGTTTAAATGGTTGCCATCAGCGTCATTATTACTAGCAAAGTTATCACTGAAGGGAGACTTTCCGACTGTCACGTCTGCCGAGCGCGGCAGCCCGTGTCCCCTGCAGCGCGGCGACGGGAGCGGAGGGATGAGCTAACTGAGCCACAGGTAACTTTGGAGAGAGGGTGCTGGATGTTCATGTCTCTATGTCTCTGCTACCTCCAAGCATGTAGGCAATAAAGCCCCATCACTTTTTTTTTTTTTTTTTCCCCTTCCCCTCAATTTTTTTAAATGCGTAGACTTTATTGGTGGTGGGGAGGGAAGAAGCAGAGGGCTGGAGAGGAACCTGCCGGGAGGATGAAACGGCACGGCCGCGGAGTGTTTTAAATCACGAATGCATTTAATGTCCTTCGGTTATTTCCCCCCCCTCCCCATCATACCGTACAGCGACCAGTATTGTCCCAGAGGGGAGAAAAATCGCAAGCTAGTTTCGTCCATAAGCAGGATTATAAAAAGTAAAAAGGAGATCATATGTGAGGACTAAACGAAGAAGAATATATTATTAATAATAATCTATATTAGGTTATAATAAATATTTTCATTTCCAGGCGACTGCCGTAAGCGCACTGGAATCGGTGCGTGCCGGCAGCAGCGGTCTTATAAAGTCTGGGCGTAAGATTCGCGCGTGTGAGGGGGTGCGTGGGGGTGTCAGGCTAAATTCCTAAATAAAAGTACTAATGCCATCTAGAAATGGGAGGGAAAAGTAGAGGGATATCAGCGGCAGGAGCTTCTCGGTCCTCTGGTCCTCCTCCAGCGTTTCCTCGCGTTGTGATTTAAAATCCGCCTCAGAAATAATAATAAAGAAAAGCATTATCTAATATTTAGCATGTAGTTCTGTCCGAGGACAAATGAGAAAGAAGCTGCATCATTAGGACCTAAAAGGCAACAAAACAAAAATCAGAGCATAATGATGCACCTAAATGAAGGGGGAAATGTTGCACAGCTCATTTTATTAATCAGACTGTCAATTCCACCCCAGAGGCCAAACCCCAGAGCAATTCAAGCAAGATCTGATCAAGCTAAGGACAAGAGCTTTACTCCTCACTTCTTGTCTTTCTTTCTTTCCACCTGGATATATTTGTCTGCTCTGAAGCCGCCTTCATTATCCACTGACAGGAGCTTGTATTTATTTGCTTATAAACCTGTTACAATAAATGATTATTCGAACAGCGTCATTCGTACCTTAATGACGAGCACCACTTTTTGATGAATGACATTTCGGGCTAGAAAGGATGTATGGGTCATTTTGACCAGTCATTCCCTCGCTTTGGCATCCCACAATTTTTACGCCTCCCTCAAAAAGAGATAATAATATTTAGAGACACTTGCCGGGCTGAATGTGAATTAGCCCCTGCTGCAGCTCATCATTAGTACAGGACCAGCCCTGCAACTTTGACATTTTTTATAAAGCTGAGATGATGGAAAGAATAAGAAAAGAGATGATCCTGATGGAGAGAGGGCTGCACAGCCCTACAGCTGGCAAAAGGCTCTCGAATTTGTCAGACTCAGCTGGAAATGCGGTGCTGGAGGCCCTTGAAAATTCTCCGCACAGTGGTCGCCTCAGCCCGAGACTGACTGCCGCCTCCCTGCACAGCGCTATAGGGGACATCTCCGCCAAAGGCAAATTTGAAATAGACACTTTATTCAATCTTCAGCATCCGAGCAGCGAAAGCACCGTCTCCTCCGAAATCCCGCCGTCGGAAAGCAGGAAGAAAATCAGCCTTTATTCCGAAGTTGCTCAGGAGGCAGATATGAACAGTGATGTGGAGGTGGGCTGCTCCGCGCTCCGCTCCCCAGCCAGCCTGACTTCCTCCCAGCTGAAGGAAAACAGTAACAAAGGTAACTCTTCCCTTTATCATCTCCATCTCAGCCCCGCACTTTGCCAACCGGCTTTAAAAAGCAAGGCAGACCCACCGCCACCGCCAAAGTTCCTCGCCTCTGCACCGGCGCTCTCTCTTCTGCGAAGACAGAGCTCCAGGCTGTAAAATATTATTGCGATTACTGTGCTATCCCGATAGCTGAGACACACTGCCCAGGCAGATCCTGTGCGGGTGCGTGCGTGTGTGTGTGTGTGTGTGCATGCCCAAATCCATTGGTATGTAGATATATATATACCGAATATATGTGGGCACAAATGTCCACCCACCTATATTTAGGGAAAGCTTTCTCCGTATTTTTCCTCGCGCTCTTGGAGCTCTCGGCGCCTCTCAAGCTGTGTATATGTGTATATACATACAGAGATTAAATTAGAGAGAGAGAGGGGAGTGCGAGGAAACTGTCCATATTTGTCTGTGTGCGTCCTTCTCTGTGAATGTGCAACGTAGTGTCCTGTGTCCATCTCGGGATAATTGGGCATTGTTCACTTTTCCTCTTCTTGTAACAGGGGGTTTGAAACAGCCTCGTCTCCTTCCCGCTCTGCGGGCACGGTGATGGACGATGGCTGTTATTATTGCTGTAATTGGGGAGGGGGAGCCAGGTGAGCGGTGCATTTCCTAGGGGCCACAGTGCATGCCTTTTTCGTCAAATGTGCCAGAGAAAGGAAGGGATCCTCGACGTAACGCTCGAGGAAGAAAAAAAAAATAAATTGGCTATTATGGCTGCTCTTATTTCGTACGTTTCAAACGAAAATAAGAACCGCAGTGGACTGGGAAAAGGGCTAGCGCCGAGCCCGGGCTCCTGGCAGCCCGGCGGAGCCGCGCCGAGTCCCGGCCCGAGCCCTGGCCCGTTCTCCCCGGGGCTCGGCCGCCCCGAAATCGCCCCAACCCGCCCCGTTCACGGGGAATAAACGCGGTCATGAAGTACTCAAAAAACCAACCGAAAAACCCCAGCCACAACCCGACCAAACCCAGACGCAAACGACTCAACCCCCCAAAATCCAACGTGATCGATTCCGTGAGCAGCAGCGATTTGTAGGGCTGACAGCTGGCCCTGAGGACGGGCCGGCAGGGCCCTGCCCGCTCTAGGGGGCCGCTCCGCCGCCCCTTCTCACCCCCGTCCGCTCGACCCGCAGGCTACGCGGAGAGCAGCTCGGCTCCCGGCACCCCCGCCGCCGCCGCCGCCGCCCCCTCAGCTTCCCGCCGCCCCCCGCAGGCTACGCGGAGAGCAGCTCGGCTCCCGGCACCCCCGCCGCCGCCTCCGCCGCCCCCGCCGCCGCCATCGGCAGCCTGCACGGCGGCGGGGCGCTGGGCGGCTCGGCGGCGGGGGCCGACCAGGTGCGCCGGTACCGGACCGCCTTCACCCGCGAGCAGATCGCCCGCCTGGAGAAGGAGTTTTACCGAGAGAACTACGTGTCGCGGCCCCGGCGCTGCGAGCTGGCCGCCGCCCTCAACCTCCCCGAGACCACCATCAAGGTACGCCACCTCCCGCCGAGCCCCTCCCCGGCCCCGGCGCGGCCCCGCGGTGCTGGGCTCCCCCCGGGCCGGCTGCCCCTTCTGGCTGAAGGGGTCGCCAGGCCTTCAGCTGTGATCATCCCTTCCGCTCCTTTGCTGCTCCGCACTTTTCATTTCCTTTTTAAAAAAAAAAATATTATAATTATTTATTTTCCTCATCAGTTTTTTTTTTATTATTATTTTTTTTAATCGCGTTAGCATATTTCCTAAAGAGAAAGAGGAGTGAGAGAAAAAATAGACGCGGCTCTTAAACACGGGGGTACGAGCGCGTCAATAGCCCAGTGATAGTCCTGCGTGGGGGAGGAGGGGGCGAGTGGCAGGGAACACGTTTATTCAGATGGAAGGGGTCCCCCCCGGGCGGAGGGGGACGGTGCCCACCTCTCCCCTCGAGCAAGGTCACAGGCGACTGTGGCCGGACAGGAGACAGGTCGGCAACAAGCG